GGCGCGCCAGCCTGGTCCCGGGAAGAGGCGGAGGGCTGGGGGGCATCGGGTGGCTGGCTCATGCCGTGCCAGGTGCAGGGTCTGCTAGCTGGGTGCTGACAGGCTTGCACCTGGCACGGGCACCGTAGCCAGCCTGTGCCCCTTTAAGGGGTCTGGGTCTGGGAGGGGGGCAAGAGAGTTTCCCTGGTGTTGGCCAGAATGGCCACCAGGGAAACCTGGGGAGGGCTAGCCTCCCACTAGTTCGAATTAAGGGGCTACACACCCCTTAATTCGAACTAGTAAGTTCGAACTAGGCTTAATCCTCGTAAAATGAGGTTTACCTAGTTCGAACTAAGCACTCTGCTAGTTCGAATTAAGTTCGAACTAGCGGAGCGCTAGTGTAGCGCCTATCAAAGTTAATTCGAACTAACGTCCATTAGTTCGAATTAACTTTGTAGTGTAGATATACCCTCTGAGTGTTGAGTAATAAAGTGAAGTTATATAGTCAATACTTTTACACCTACTTCTTTCACAGACGTGGCATGTCACCTCGAGGACTATACAATGCATGAATCTTAAACCTCAGCATTTCAGCTGTTTATATGTATATCAAATAAAAAATAAAAAATACATTTCTTAAAATACATTGCCTAGGAATATGAACAGGATTAACACTGTATTCAATTATCAAGTAACATTTTTTTCTTTTAGTTTTTCTCCTACTTCATGAAAACATTCTCATTTTGAGGAAAGACATGTTGAAACTAACAAAAAAAACCCACCTTATTTTGGTAGATACCTGTGCCACAGTCACAGGTGACAGTCACATATTGTATATTTTAGCTGAAGGACATAGAGACAGTTATAGTAAATATTGCATAAATGTTTACATTGTAAGCGGCCTTTTTCTGTTGCATAACCTTTCATCTTTTGGACTGAAAAATTCATGGGCATTTGATATCTTCCTGAGCATTAAGAATTTTGTGAAGTGTTTTTTTGTTGTTGTTTCAATCATTTGGGTGTGAGTTGATCATTTTCAAATACAGAGTGGAAAAAGACATACTCTTTTATCATTATAAAAAATTATTTGCAACCCTCTTGGACAACTCTAGCTAGTGCTTGATTTTGGTTAGAAACTTGAAATACTGCACACAGGTAGACACTTGATCAAACCCTAACATTTTGGTGGTTATGTACAAATCTATTAACTTTGGTAAGGGCTGCTTTATTCAGCATACAAAAACATGTACAGCCACCCTTGTTTCCTTCTGTGAGAAATATACACAT